TTATGATCGTCTTATCAAAATCCGTGATGCATTTAAGGAATACAACCCAGATGATTCTATAATAACAAACATATTAACTCTTGAAGAAAAATTCGGTAAATTAAAAAAACAATACGATTCATTGCAAAATTTGTTTATTGAACGAATTGTACTTGTTTAAAATAGTGGTTTGGACAAAAATCGTTTTTTGTATATCTGTAGGGTGATAAAGTTAATTTAGTTCAGTTTAGATTCTAAAACCTTTAGATTTCAAATTAAAACCTAAAAACCAGCTTTCATATAATAAATATTAAACCAAAGTTAAACTTGATTTGGTTCAAAAACATTTTAAACTTTAGAAAAAATATATTTTGAAATTATCAAACGTTGGAATTTCGAACAAAATCAATGACTACTTGTTTCGTAATGAGTGATCTATTAATTTTATTTTTTTTTATGAAATGTATCAGAAAATTGGGTTAGAAACTAATTATTAGTAAGCTTTTGCGATGCAGAAGCATAACTTCTAAGTTCACACTATCGGTTTCCATATCACTAACTAACATTTAGTGACACGGTGAGCCAGATTTTTTTTATAAAAAAAAACTTTTTAATAAATTTTGTTTAAAAATTTTATTGACAACCTAAATACCTAGTAAAAAAAAACTTCATATGCTTAAAAATTTTTAATAATATGCGAACGGATTCGGTATTTTTATTGAGAATGAAAGATTTATCGCTTCACAAAATATTTTGCATAGTCAAAATAAAATTCGAATACATAACTGCGCGATGCAGTCGTGCTTAAGCCAGGAACGTGGTATAATCACCCGACTCCAGCCTAAAATAATAATTATAAATTATGAGAGATTTATATATATCATATATTCTAATTTATAAAATTATTAATATAGATATGGTTTGTTAATTCAATGGAGTCAATGGATACTATCCTCGCTCCATTGATGATTTTCTCAATGGACCTTATCCATTGCCAAAAGTATCAGGATTCACCCCTAGTTCCTATTGGAAGCTTATAAATACTGTTTTTTGATTGGACGAAATTGTTCTGAAGAAAAACAAAAATACGATAAAAATAAATAAAATATAGATACTGTTAAAATTTTGCTAGGAATTTTTTTTTATTAAGACGCGAAAGGTGGTTTCATTATTCAAATTACAAGTTACCGACGATTTTTTGAAAAGTTTCTATTTTTGATAGCAAAAAGTTGCGTAACCTATTTTTTGTCCAATCAGTGATAATATTTTCATACATCCAATCAGAAGTTGGGGCTTTCATCTTGATATACGTATGAGTGAAATCATATGATTAAATATGAAATACGCAATACGCATTACCTATAAGAGATCCTTTGAGTAGTGATGAATGAATAATATCCATTGACTCCATTGGATTAACAAAACCTATTTATAGTAATAATTTTATAAATTAGAATATATAATATAATCCGGGTTGGCATTTTACTATACTTTTTCTATTGGTATATAATTATATTCATTTTTTTTTCTATTATAAATTTTTAGTATTAAATTTTATTAATTAAATATAAAAATATTTTAAATTTATTACTTTACTAATGCTCTAACAATATATATTTAAATCATCATAAATTACTAAGACAAAATTGAACTTTTGTTCTATTTGCCAACACTTTATATAATATAATCAGGGTTGGCATGGACCGGTCAATGGTCAAGCTTGACCAGACCAGTTTGACCAATTTGACCAGTTGGTCAAAGGGTTTAGTATTGGTCAAATTGGTCAAATTGATCAAATAATATATAAAGTATATAAATATATTTGTTTATTTATTTGTATATTAAAATTATTTATTTAATAGACTAGACCATTTGACCAATTTGACCAGACCATTTGACCAATTCGACCAGACCAGTTCGACCAACAAATTTTTGGTCGACCAGTGATTTGACCAACTCTGAATATAATATATGTCAAGCATAATTTATCCAATGGATAAATGTGCCAACCCTGGATAGAGGTAAACATCTTGTGGGTTTCTCACATAAGATACCGGATATACAGTAAAACGTTAGGGATCTTTTGCTGTATAGGATGACTTCTTTAATAAAATGTTAATTGATAATAAACTGGGTCTTCTATGCCTAGGAATGGGTCATGACCTATATAATAAAATATATATTATAGCACTCCAGTTCGGGTCATTCAGGTCTCCCGTAAATGCAACGGTGGACAATGAACTTTGAAATAAATATAGTTACTTTTGAAACTGTTGATATGGTAGATTTATGTTTATTTTCTTACGACAAAAAAATAGCTTAAAACTATTGAATTAAATTTCATACATATAACGATAATGTTATACCCTTGGAAATATGATTAAGAGGGCTTTGGCCATCCTTCTTAATGTCTTCGCTTGAGATTTCGCTTAGAATTTCAGCATACTACCATGCGTATCTTTCATTGAGAATGCGTCTGTTTACTCGCCGATAATATTAATTCTGCCGACAAGCCTCATCTGTCATAACCGAAGATTCAAAGCCTCGGCATTTGTGACGTCTTAATTATTTACTCACGGGATTTATGGTGCAGTTTTACCTTTATTTTCGGAAATGACACTTTTCTCCCGTAACAATACGATATAAAAACTTAATGGAAATGAAATGTCTTACAAGAACATGGATGAGTGAAATAAAAACATTTTTACTAACGATAAATTAAAAATAGCTTTGATTAGTAAAAATTTATGTATTCGAACAATTTACATATAAAGTATAACCGTTAGGTTAGGGTTGCGTCTCAATTAATTAAATCAAACATTAATTAGGGTAACGTATGAAATCGTATTACTATAATTTACTAGGCATTTAACTTTGCATCTATAAAAACTTTCTGAGGAAAACCTATGAAAGTGATTGAAAAAGATTTTCTGTTAAAAACATCTATAACGGAGAGGTTAATAATGTTTGGTTCAGTTATGGATTTGATTTAAATGTACAAATGTAATTTATTGCCTGTATAAATAACTGTGTAACATATGTATTCGAAAATGCTGGGACGAGTGCCTTCTACGTTGATAAAAAAAAATCATCTTTTTTTCTGCAATTTTAATTGGCTAAAATGTAACTATATATATATGATTCGGGATCCTTTATGAACGATATTAAGCAGAATTAGAATTTATGTTCTCAAGGTAAAGAAATGAAATTTGTTTATTATTTTATATAAGTTTAACTTCACTTATTATTTTTATGAGTATAGTAGAAGATACAAATAAGAGATAAATTTAAGGAGTGTAAAACAGAGCAATATTTATATTAAATTCAGGTGGTTGAAAGGTTACTGTGCCTTGACTAGTAGTGATACTTGATTTACTTAATTTTGATCAGTTTACTTTTGCATAATCACTATACTTTAAATGAGCGAAAAAATGGGTTGAAGCTATAATTCGAATCAGCCAATTAGGTCTAAAAGTCGCAGATCATTAGAACTTTCATCCAGTGGTAAAAAATCTTCACCGGTGGAAGCTATTATACCTCCAATTTATTCAATTCCATTGGAACGTTTCCAGTGAGCAATGCTGTTTTTGATTATACAGTACTTCGACATTACAATTAAAAAATAAAATAATAATGTTCTTATAAAGCGTACCAGCTAATGCTTTTCATCCATGTAATCCAAATTCATTCCATATAATGTCTAAAAAAACAAGCTCGACATTTCATTTGGTCTAGTTTATTCGACTAATGTCTAAAGAAGGAAATGCGATGCTCTCATAAAGTGCATCAGCTAATGTTTTTCCTTCATACGATCCGAATTTATTCCCACCAAAGTCGGAGTGGTGTTTACAAAGTGCGTCTGCTAAACTTTTTCCCGCTTCAGAACCGAGTTGACCATAATTACGATTCAAAGAAATCATCGTGATGATCTTGCATAGTGCAGCTGCTAACGCCTGGTTCAAATTCATTACAGATAAAAATTAACCTCTATGACAACTTCGTGACGTAACTAATTAGACTAGTACCAAAAGTCTAACAATCCAAAAATAATAATCATAATAATAATTCTGTACCTTGATGCTCGAAATTCACTGATTCTTCAATCTCTAATATTATATATAATGTTTTTTTTATTGCGGATTTTGATAAGACGATCAAAAGTGACAACGCAGATGGGACAAAAAATCGTGGCACCACTGATGATGATGACAATGAAGAGGGAGGAAATATGGTGGCCGTAAGGTTAACAACCTTTTGTGAAGATAAAATTAGAGATAATGCGTCAGGTATCGGAACAGGGTTGGTGGTAGCATCAGGAGAAGGCGCAGAGGAAGTAAGAGCGGAAGAAGCCTTAGTTAGGAATGGCAGATGATTTAAAACAGAATGGTTTAATTAATTTTAGCATTTTACTAAATCAAGTTATAAAAATATAAAAATTTTTTTACCGTTCCTAGCCTCAGCGGCATCGACAACGTGAAAGGAAGCCTTTGCATCGCAAAAGCTTACTAATAATTAGTTTCGAAACCAATTTTCTGATACATTTCATATAAAAAAATAAAATTAAT